AGTATTCCAAATGAGAAATCTTGACTCCTTCTTATTTTATTCCTTATCCATTCCCTTTAATAAACAGGTTACCAAACCCTATAAATGCTACAGAAAAATCTTACAAACATTAAGGCTTAAGAAATTAGATTTTATGTAACTTGAACCTTATTAAACAGGGTATATGAGGGTAAAAATTCAAAACTGGTAAAAAAAAATCAATATGCTGAAATATTGAAAGCATATATGTTTTCAGGATTTATTTATTTATGCATACAGAACTGGGATACAGGCCAGAGGTGTGGTGGGTGAGAGGATTCACCAGAGACAGAGAGGGGAGCAGAACAAGACTGATGAAGTACACTGCTGAGGGGAGCAGCGGGCCGGTCAGGAGAGGTCTGCCACACCATGTGGGTCACCTCCGGTGCTGGGGATTGAACTCATGCTGAAGTGGCTTTAGCTTCTTAGTGCTGTGCTTTAACCCGCTGTGCCACCAGGGAGGGCCCATGAAAGCATATTTCTATCAAAATTACTTGCATAAAGATAAAGCAAAAGGATGGGCCATAGGGCACTTTGAAGGGTAAGTTAGTCTCGTTCCTCTGAGTAGTTCTAAGAACAAAAAATACTAACTAGACATTTCATAAGAATGAGTAATTTGCAAGAAAATTTAAAATCATTAAAAAGTAGATAAATTCTGGGCCCTCCCTAGTGGCACAGCAGGTTAAAGCACAGCACTGAGAAGCTAAAGCCACTTCTGCATGAGTTCGATCCCCGACTGACCCAGAGGTGATCCACATGGCACCGCAGACCTCTCCTGACCCGCACGCTGCTCCCCTCAGCAGTATACTTCATAGATTTGCTGTTCTGCTCCCCACTCTGTCTTTGGTGAATCCTCTCACCCTCTGCATCTCTGGCCTGTACCCCAGTTCTGTATGAATAAATAATCTTTAAAAAAAAAAAGTAGATAAATTCTTATATATCTAAAGCAAGAAGAATGAAGTTTAGATTCAATAAAAATTTTACAACAGAAAAAAAATGTGCAAGGAATTAATCAACAATATTTTTAAATGGTTTCTAAGCAATAAATTATTTTTAAATGGTTTCTAAGCAATAAATTATTAACTATAAAAGTGTTTACATTGAGCCCTCCCTGGTGGTGCAGCAGGTTAAAACACCGCACTAAGAAGCTACAGCCTCTTCAGCATGAGTTCGATCCCTGCCCACCCTGGAGGTGACCCACATGGCGCGGCAGACCTCTCCTGACCCGCCCGCTGCTCCCCTCAGCAGTGTACTTCACTGGTCAGCATATTCTGCTCCCCACTCTGTCTCTGGTGAATCCTCTCATGGCCCCTGCACCTCTGGCCTGTACCCCAGTTCTATATGCATAAATAAATAAATCTTTCAAAAAAAAAGTGTTTACATTAAAAAAGTGGATGATGAACAATATGGTAGGGGTTATACAATATGATGAACAATGAACAATATGGTAGGGGTTATACATTTTTTCTTGTGAAAAGTAAACTGCCAACAAGCTGTAATATTGTGTTTTCAACCTATCAGTCATATCCCTGAGAAAAGCAGGGCTCTGTCTCTGTGTTTAGCAAATGTTTCCAACACTTGATATTAAAGAAGTTTTCTCAAAGCTATTATTTTCTAAGATCAGTAGATACTATTTAAAGTGACTACTCAATATCAAATAAATGAAATTAAGCTATCACAATAGTGATATATTGAGTAGAGTTTCAATTTTCACATTCCTTTGAATTCAAAAGAAAAGATTCCCAGTTGTCTGTCTTAACACTCTTGGTTCTGCTCCCAAAAGAGAGAAGGAATGACATGGATGGATCCTGGGGTCCTTTCAGGGCCAACGCCTATAGAGTCTTTGTTTTCTTTTGGGAATTAGAAGGATTCAAGAATGCAATCTAGTATTGCAAAACAAATACGATGTGTCCCATGGCATCTCATTGTATGTGGAGATAATAGAGGAGGCTGTGCCCAGGGAGACCCCAGGGAAGTCCTGCTTCCATAATTGCTCAGGGCCTCATCTTTCAAGAATCTTCTCGCCAAAAAAAAAAAAAAAAAATCAGTTCAATGAAGGTTCTCAAAAAACTAACGCTTGACTCCTCCACGAATCCAGCTGGAGTCTGAGTGGAGCCCCGCAAAGGTCAACTGGTGCTCAGATGTGAGGCAAGAGCACTGATCACTGCAGGGTGCTCAGAGCACACTCTGGATCTGCAGCGTGGGTCTCTGCTTGTCACACGGCTGTCCTCAGTGTGAGGCCCCTCAGCTGTACTTCCCGAGCCCCAGGTAAGGAGGAGGAAACTGTCAAACAGACGAGCTCCAGCACCAGAGCTCCACTCTTTCTGGGAGAAGGGCCCTCTGTACCCATACACTCTGCAGTCTATATGGGAGAGGAACTTCCTCTTTCCTCTCTTGTCTAGATGCCTGGGTCTTAGACCTTGCCATCTGTTCCTCCTGAGGTATCCCTTTGTGTACCGAAAAGTCAAAGAAATCAAAAGATGTATTTTCTCTCCAGCCAATGACCCTTTTTTTAACTCCCAGAACTTCCTGTACTCGACCTTCCGCTCCTGTTACTGTGGCTGTTCGCTTCCTCTTTCTCTCTTCCCCCACTCTGCTGGTGATGCCCACTGTTGTCACAGGGCTTCACGAGGATGCCAGAGAAGAATTCCTGCAGTTTACCACCACTGTCAGGGAAGTCGAAAGTATTGAGAGCTCGGTGTGTTCTAGCCTTGTTTGTGGGTTACCCTGTCTCTAAGACTGCCGTGTCCAAGTTGCTGTCATATAGCATGCACATTCCAGGGGCTAAGAATGAAAAATGAAAGGGCTACATGTTGATTCTGCCCCATTTCCCCTGAGGAGGGACTCACTACCACCGATGCTGTCAGTAACACCAGTAGCCCAGGTGGTCATGCCTCGTGATTCCTCACAGGCTCTCCCCAGCAAGGACTACAAGAAACTGACCAACAAAGCAGTACTGTCCAAATTTGATTCTACGCTTCCAAGAGGATGATTAGTGCTTTGGTGTCTTGTGTGCATGTGTGTGGCACTCCCTGTGTGTGAGGGGAACTCTGTTCCTTCCTGGATGCTCCTTATTCATGTCTCAATCTAGTTAAGTGGCCACAGTGACCTCAAGCATCTCTTCAGACTGTCGTTTCTCCTCGTGCCCTCACCTGTGCTGTGCCTATGGACAACAGGTAGGGGATCCAGCATGCATTGGGCCATCTAACACTCCAACCTTCCCGTCTCCTCACATACCTGAATTTCACTCAAGCATTGCTTATAGGTTTAATCTCCTGACCAAACCCTACTAGAACTTCCCACACCTCATTGCATTTCCTTGGCAAGAGCAGATACAAAATGGTAACTGCTTTCTTATTTGACATCACCCACTTCCCTGTTCAATGACTGTGCGCCACAGTTTTGAAGAGTAACACTTTTTCCTACCCTTTTCATAGTGGCTGAGCTAGTGAACTAGGCTTTTGATCTGAGATTTTTTGTAGACCTCTTGCGTATGTTCCATGTATCAAAAGATTTAGTCTTGCCGGTTATCACCATTTAGTCCTGCCAGTTCCTCAGTGCCTTCCTGCTCCCTTAAAGCCCCTGGATCATCCTCTGTGTTAAAGATGATCCCAGATTCAAACCCAATCTAGAGGGAAATCCAGGAGTCGGCCCTTCTCTGTCACCCAGTGGTCTTGCAGTCAACTCAGGCTTGTCTTATCACCAGTGATGACCCGACCACACTTTCCTCTGCTGCCAGCTCCGTGCATGCCCTGGGTGTGAAAACCAGCCTGCTAGGGACACCGTCCTTGCACCCCTTCAACTTCAGGTGGTGTTGCCCTGGACTCCCCTTCTGTTCTGACCTCTCCATCCTTGGGCAGCCCCAGGCCTAGGCCTATTTCCTTCTCAGGGGTGTGAGTCCAGCCACAGCCTGACCTTACTGCCTTCCCACCTCTACTCAGTTTCCTTCACCATAGCTTGTTTCCAGCTGTGTTATTACTTGCTTATTTCTGATGTACAACCATGTGTACACATTGAATAATGAGCCTGCTTAGATTCAAAGTATGGAAAAGTACCTGAATTCCTACTAAAGCAAATATCCTACTGATTAGGTATCAAAATACAAGGTGCAGCATGAATGAGCTTTTATGCCAAATAAGATTACAACTTGATGCAGACAGATGTCTTGGCTGCATTCTGTCTTCAGCAAAGGCCCTCCCTTCTCTTTTGGGTGTGGGCTTTCTAATCTGTACTGGACTCCACTGTTCTGGCGTTAGTCATAAAGATCCTTCATGCATTACTCTTGAACATCCTTCAAATCTTGATGCTCTGATCAGTAAATAACCAGGAATGTGGCTTATAATAAAGTGGAAAGTGCTCTATTAAACTTCCTGCCTTACATGTAAGGATAGAAAAGAACCCTGGGAAATACCTAGTATTGCTTCTCTCGTGAGGAAAGGAAAGTTGAGTCTGCTGACTGAAAGGTAAGCTGCAAGAAGCCTGATCTATGATTAGAAGACAGGGCTTTTGATTTTTAATAACACAGCATCCTTTCACACACATCCTTTTACACTTTTTTTTTAAAAGATGTATTTATTTTTGCATACAGAACTGGGGTACAGGCCAGAGGTCCAGGGGCAGTGAGAGGATTCACCAGAGACAGAGTGGGGAGCAGAACAGGCTGACTGATGAAGTACACTGCTGAGTGGAACAGCAGGTGGGTCAGGAGAGGTCTGCCTCGCCATGTGTATCTCCTGCAGGGCAGGCGGGGATCAAACTCATGCAGAAGTGGCTTTAGCTTCTCAGTGCTGTGCTTTAACCCGCTGCACCACCAGGGAGGGCCCCCTTTTACATTTTTACAAGTACCTGAATATTTTCAAGTTTTTTTCCCAATCAAAATTAGTCAATTGTCCAATAATGTCTTCACTCAGGATCTGGTGCTCCATCATGGTCAAGTGTTTATTGTTCTGCTCGTTCTGACATGTAGACCGGAGTCCACATCAATGGGCACAGGAAACAGAACCTCTCTCATGGAGTTCATCTTGCTGGGGCTCTCTTCAGATAAGCATACCCAGGTGCTGCTGTTTGTGCTATTTCTCATCATCTACCTGCTCACTGTGCTGGGGAATCTGCTCATTATCGTGTTAATTCAAAATGACTGTCGGCTTCATAAGCCCATGTACTTCTTCCTTAAAAACCTGTCATTCACTGATCTTTGTTTCTCTACAACAATTGTCCCCCAGATGTTAGTCCATTTGCTGGTAAGAAGAAAGACCATTTCCTTTGCGGGGTGCTCAATTCAGATGATTTTTTTCCTAATAGCTGGTTGTACAGAGAGCTCCCTCTTAGCGGTGATGTCCTACGATCGCTATATTGCTGTCTGCAAGCCCCTACACTATCCCACTCTCATGACTCAGAGGCTGTGTGTCCAGTTGGCCATGGCATCTTGGGCCAGTGGAGTATTTGTGTCTGTGATAGACACATCATTTACATTATGTCTCTCGTACCACAGAAAGAATGTCATCAATCATTACTTTTGTGAGCCCCCTGCCCTCCTCAAGTTGGCTTCAGAAGATACTTACCGAACTGAGATGGTCATCTTTGCGATGGGAGTGCTAATCCTCCTTGGGCCAGTCTCCCTTATTCTTTTCTCCTACTGGAATATTATCTTCACTGTGATTCGAATGCAGTCGGGGCAGGGAAGGGTCAAAGTGTTTTCTACCTGTGGTTCTCATTTCATAGTTGTTCTGTTCTTCTATGGCTCAACAATATTTACCTACATGCGGCCAAATTCCAAGAAGATGAACGAGGGAGATAAGGTGATCTCTGTTTTCTACTCAGTCATAACATCTATGATGAACCCCTTCATTTATAGCCTGAGAAACAAGGAGGTGAAGGAGGCATTTTGGAAACTCTTTGGCAGAAAGAGCCTATGAAAGGCAATGATCTTTAGATTGCAATATGATTACAAAGACACTTGAGAGTACTTAAACATCTCTGACAAATTTCCCTTGTTTTGACCACTAATTAGTAAACTCGTATAGATTATACATTCAGGGTGTTTCCAGATTGTCAAATGGCTCTTGTTCAAGCTGGTTCCCTATGGTTGCAACTTTTAAGTCTCAAGGCACCCTTTTTATTTTTTGACTTTACATATTATAAAATAAGTGAGTATAATAAAATCTATTAGCACGTTAAAGATGATCTTCATATATAATGAATTATTTGTTTTCTATAATATAATATAAAATAAGTGAATATAATAAAGTCTATTAGCACATTAAAGATGATCTTCATATATAATGAGTTATTTGTTTTCTAATCTGCCTTCACCTAAAGATATTTCCTTCTGGTTCTATTCATGCCTGAGGCCTTGTTCCCTGCCAACCTGATCTGTAGTCACCCACAGGTCTTGGATGATGTCCCCATGCTCTTCAATTGCCAGAGGGAAAATGTTAATGACCACTTTACCATAAAGTTCTTATTGTAAGGTCCCAGCAATAGAATAAGACAAGGACACAGAAGTAAGAGAGGGGAAGGCTTTATTGTGCTCCCTGGCAGGCGGTCTGCAGGATCCCCAGAGGGGGCCTTGGAGTCCTGCTCAGTGTACAGGCTGGGGGTCAGGGCTGGGGAGGTAGTGGAAGAGCCACAAGGTCCTTGGTTGTGGTCCCGTTTGTTCAGGGTCTTTGATCTTTATCAGGGTGGCTATCTGGGCTAACATCCTGACGCCAGCTCAGCAGCTATCTCATCTTGATATCACCTAATATTCTTCCTTTTACCACTCTGGGGGCCTGGGTGAAGGGCTTGGGTGGGGGCCTTGGGGGAGGGGACTGGGTGACCTTTCACTTTTCAGACAGCTTTTTTTACATTTAATCATGAGGAGTTCCCAACACTGTGAGAGTCAATTCTACTCTGCATTGGGGAGAGAAGAGATGTGGTCATAGACAACCAGGTACAGAATGTCATATTCCAGAAACATTTGGTCTTTTACATTCTATTTCTTTCCAAAGACAACATGTGGCTCCAGAGAACACGATGAGAAGCCCCCTGCCTAGAACTCTGTGGTCACAGGCCCAGGTGACACCCACATGCCTCAATGTCTGCTCAGGCACATCTCCACCTTTCTGCAGACTGGTTGTGCCAGTGCCCTTTAAGTTCTCCTGTGGAAAAGGAAGTAATGGCTGACATGCATGAAACCCTCCCAAAATAGGGATGGCTCCATAGAGTGGCATGCAGTGGCTCTAGCCATGTTCAGTTTGTGCAATATGCACTTCTTCACTGAGTAAACAGTGTCATCCCTTCCCCTGCGCTCGACGAAATATGTCCAACCCAGAAATGAATGGGAGTTAAGCCAACACTTTGCTGATTGTGGAATCCCTGGTGCAGGACTGCTGGGCCATGGAAGCACAGCTGGGCCCCTCTCAGCCCTGCCAGTAGCCCCAGGGTTCCCATCCCGCCTGACATCCCTTGCTGTTTTGCCCCACTGACACAAGCATGCCCCTTACTGCTGTTTTGCCCCACGTCTGTGACCAGCAAGAAAGAAAGAAAGACAGGAGGCAGAAAGGCTGAGCAAGCAGAATTGCTTCTGGGCAGCAGCAGACAGAGCCCCCTAGAGAGGGGTCCGCAGCTACTGCCAGCCCTATAAGGGGGAAGGGTCTCTTATATAGATTCTAGACTCATCACTGTGTCGTTATCACCTTCTTCTAGTCCCATCCAGATGCAAGGCCCCATTAATTGGATGCAAGGCCCCGTTAATTGGATGCAAGGCCCAGTTTATTACCGCCTTATCACCCTTGGATGCAAAGCCTAATTTATTACTGCTCTTATCCAGTCCTGTCAGTAAATCTCCGCACTTGGTCACTCCCAGCAACTGCCACTTCACTCAGTGCTTATATGTTTCCCTGGTTCTCCATCCATCAGCACAGCCTTTAGTCATTTTTCCTGTTGCCCAGGGAGAAATGCAGCTACCTACTGACACCTTTTGGGAAGTATCAGTAATGACACAAATATCATACTATCGGTGACTGGTGATTAACCATGGTACCATGGTTTTAGCTGCTGCATCATCCATCGTCATGTTAGTGGCCTCACCTGAGTCTCCATACTAGTTGAGAAGTGATGATTTTATTTTGTGTGTTTTTTGTTTTGTCCCAACTTCTGTGACCGGCGGCAAGAAAGGAAGGTGGGGGGCAGAAAGGCTGAGCAAGCAATTTATTGCTCCCAGACAGCAGCTGAGACAGAGTCCCTAGGGTGGGGTCCGCAGCTACTACCAACTCAATATAGATCCTAGGTTCACATTCCAAAGGGTGACTGATCATCGCTGTGTCCTTTGATGTAAGGGACAGTTCGTTATCAAACTTGGATGTGAGGCCCAGTTTGTTATCACCTTCAGCTAGTCCCATCCTGGATGCAAGGTCCTGTTAATTGGATGCAAGGCCCAGTTTGGATGCAAGGCCTGATTTATTATTGCCCTTATCCAGTCCCTCAGTAAATCTCCGCTTTTGGTCACTCCCAACAATTTTGTGTTCATACTTTGGAAAGGTCACCCTATCGCTGCCTGCAGAGGGGATAATAGGTGGACACTAACGGGCAGTCAGAGAAGCAGTCAGGGTGAGCTCCAAGAAGTAGCCCAGGGCAGAGGGGTGGCCTTCCTCAGGGCTTCAGGGGTGGAGAGGAAGCCCTGGAGGTTAGGCTGGGCTTTTCCTGTCTTTGATTGTCTTGCAGGAACAGCAGTGCAGGCAGGCGTGTGAAAAACTAGGAAGAAAACCCCTCCAAGTGTTACATGAGGAAAGATCAGATTTTGATAAGTTTACACACAGTCTCAGAGAGTGATCCCCACGAAAGGTGGAGGTCTTGTTCCTTGCCCAGAATGTTAGGTTCTGCAACAAAGGCTCGATGGTTAAGACAGGTTCATATTTATAAACATTTGTATATGTGTGAGAGTTCTATTCACCCCAACACTGGGCACTTTAAGCATTCTGACAGAATATGAAACCCCAGTGGTCCTGAGATTGGCTTGAGAAATAGTAGCATAATTCCCATACATCACAGGATGAGATTCAGTTCATTTAGTTTGGGATCACAGTAAAAATGCCCCAGGGTATCTCTCACTCTAGAAAGTTAAAAAATGTTAACAACGCTCATTGCTCTAGGGAATGCTTGTTTACAATGGCTTTTAGGACTTCAGAGTTAAGCACTTCCTTCCAGGAAAATATCTTCAGACTGGTTCCCTAGTGAAGTTGGGATTTTAATTAGATGCTGTTTCATTCCTTGTGCTAGAATAAGACTCCAAACCCATGGATGCCCAACCTTCATGTTATTTGGAAAATGGCTGTGGAGGTTGCCTGTAAGGATTAGCAGATTTTAAAAGCCACAACTTCCTTCCTCATTCCTTTGATCCTTATCCCTGACCCCTGGGCTTCCTTCTGGTCCTCCAGGTGAGGTTGGGTGGGTGATTAGGGGCAAACTAATCCTTCTTTTCCTTCTGGAAAGTTGACTCTGCTTATTGGGCTTTGCCTTCCCCTGGCTTCTAGAGGCAATACAGTCTATTTTTGCTGTTTCTCCTAAGAAAGAGCCTCATGAATCCTATCCCCAAGTCCTCTGAGGAGGTTTAAGGTATTGACTCAGTAGGTAAGTGCAAAGGCTGTGGCCGAACTCTGCCTCTTCTTTTGCCCAAACGTTGATCAGCATTAGGACCACAGCCATCTTTGTTTAATGGTACTGAGAGTATAGTTTATTTATGAATGTTAAATTCATGTATACACATGTTCTGCAGTATTTAATACTTACTTTCCTATTAATTTACTTGTACATTTTGTGTGACAAGGATATTAATCTTTATTCGCAACATGTTTCAAATTTACTTTTCCATGTTATTGTTATTTTAAAATTTGGGTTTTTTTAGGAAAAGCAGAGGTTTATTCCCTGACTTTCCTGAGGCGTAAGCAAAATAAAACTGCTTACTTTTACGTATATAATGTGGTGTCTGGGTATAAATGTACATTATGAAATGACTACAAGCTAAGTAATATCCACCAACTCATACAACTACCTTTCTAAAGATTTTTTGATTATGACAATTCATATCTACTTTCTGAGCAAATTTTAATTATATAATATGTGTTAATCACTAGCTACTCTACCATCCTCTGGATCTCCAGAAATCATTGATCTTGCTTAGTGAGACTTTGTACCATTGGGCCAATCATTCCTCATTTTCCCTAACCCAGTCCTTTGTGACCAGCCTCCTACTCTTCAACGAGCTTGAACTTTTAGGTTCCTTATATATTATTCTTACAGAGCCATTAGTGCTTGTTATTTCCCCCTCAAATAAAGTGTTTTATCTTTCTCTTCTTGTTACTGAACGCCAGTCTCAGTTACCCTCAGCCAATAAAAGGAAACAGAGTTTGAGGAAAAGGAAAGCGGTTTTATTTGTCGACAAATGAGGAGGGCAGCAGACTCATGTCTGAAAGGCCACCGTCCCGCTCTTTGGCAGGTTACAGGGCTATTTATACAGTGTTCAACAAAGAAAAGGGGAGGTGGGCGAGTGTCCGCAAAGGGGAGGGAGTAAAAATTAGTGCTGGGATGGAGACCAGTGGGCACCAGCTTTTATTTACACAAAGACAAACAAAAATGGGAAATCAGCAGAAGTAATGGGGAGGGGACAGGGGGCAGCACAGGGAGGAAGAGGAGTCGTAGTGGCCAGCTTTCTCACTATTTGCTTTTGTTTGGGATTTCCTTTCCTTGACCCTAAACCTGTCAAAAGAAGAGAAACTGCAAGGAAAGGAGAGAAAAAAGTAAACCCACAGACAATTAAGAAGTCTGGGAAAACCAACTTCATCATAAATTTATCAAAGGACACAAATCTGCAAATGCTTATCTGAGAGCCCATGTACTGTATCATTCTTGTGCTTTTCTTTGTGTATGTGTGTGTGTGTGTGTGGTGTGAAAAGAGTTAGAACCAACGACAGACCGACAAAGACTCAAAAATTCAGAACTGCAGAAAAATGAAAAGAATTTAATACACTCGCGAGCGGGCTCGAGGTGAGGGGAAGGCCAAGAGCCCCGAGCTATTACAGTAAGCAGTTTTTAAACAGTATTTTAGGGAAGGGAGGGGGTACATTTCAGAGGCATGGAACGAGGAAGTTACAATGGTTTTTGGGATGGCGACCGGATGTCGCTGTTTTTCCGAGAGGTAGTTATCTTTTGGTCAAAAAGGAATTCTTCCCTGCTGAACAAGTCGGGCCTGGTCACAGAAAAACCTCCTTATCTTTTTGGTCAAAAGGGAATTCTTCCCTGCTGGACAAGTCGGGCCTGGTCATAGAAAAACCTCCTTATCTTTCTCGTTTTTACAGGTGGTGTTAACACTACACAGAAGATTATCCAGTCTTTCTCATTCTTGGTTTCTCTGTATTTCATGTTCTGTGACACTTAACATCTGTATTTTTTTTTTTCACCTTCCACAACACACCTGTTCCCAATCCCCATTAGCCTCTCCCCCCCACTCTCTGCTTTTTCCTCACTGTTCTCCCAGGTAATCATTATATTCTTTCAGCAGAGTTCATGAAATAGTCCCACTATTCTCTGTGTATGAATGTTTTTTGGATGTTTATAGTCTAAAGATGAGTGAACCATCTGATACATGTCTGTCACTTTTTTGCTTATTTCACTCAACATAATCACCTTAAGGTACATTTATTTTGTGCTAAATGCCACCATTTTATCAGATTTGAAATAATTTTCAATTGGAATAACTACTAATTTCAAAGAAAACACTGCTTTCTGACATGTAGAGTGATAATAGATTAAAAAGGATTTATCGATGCTAGTTCATAAATTACCTAAGTTTATCAAATTTTAAGAAAAGTAACTGACAACTATTTTTTTCTTTTGCTAATCCATGAAGAATAATCATATTTAGATATTCATGGGAGAAGACAACCGAACCTATGTGACTGAATTTGTCTTCCTGGGCCTTTCACAGGATCCACAGACACAAATCCTGCTCTTCCTCCTTTTCCTGGCCATCTACCTGCTGACAGTGCTGGGAAATCTGCTCATCATCGTGCTCATCCACGCGGACTCTAGACTCCACACGCCCATGTACTTTTTCCTTAGAAACTTGTCCTTTGCTGACCTCTGCTTTTCTACCACCACAGTTCCCCAGGTGTTGGTCCATTTCCTGGTGAAGAGGAAAACTATTTCCTTTGCTGGATGCTCTACACAGATATTTGTTTTTCTTCTTCTTGGTGGTACGGAGTGCGCCCTGCTGGCGGTGATGTCCTATGACCGCTACGTGGCGGTCTGCAAGCCCCTGCACTACTCCACCATCATGACCCACTGGGTGTGTGTCCAGCTGGCCGCAGGGTCCTGGGTCAGTGGGGCGCTTGTGTCTCTGGTGGACACCACGTTCACATTACGTCTCCCCTACCAAGGCAACAACATCATTAACCA